ATCGGTCCAACTGATCTTCTCCATCCTTCTCCAACACCACATTTCGAAACTTTCCAGATGTTTCTCATCTACTGCCCTAAGTGTCCATGTTTCAGCCTCATACAGAGCTATGCTCGAAATGTAGCATTTTACTAGTTTCTTCGTCAAATTTAAGTCCAATTTGCTGGTAAAAGGTTTCTTCTTCTTGCTAAATGCAGCTTTTGCCATGACAATCCTGGATTTAATTTCACTAGTACACCTTCCATCATCTGTTACAAGCTGCCCAAATATTTAAAACATTTCACATCCTCCAGTTTGTTCAGAATCGGACAGAAATAAAGAACACTTCATATGGAAACTCAACACTGGTTTCTGCAATGCTAGCTCAGCGACAAACGTTTCCAACAAAAGCTGTAGTAAGAATGAAACTTGGTAATTTTATGCCCAATTCACGATACTATTACCAAGATATGTAGCCACAATTGTTATGCTATACGCACTTCGAAACATAGTGGTAATTATGTGGACCACCTCTTTAACATTAAAAAGAGCTTCCATTTCACAAATACGATGTAGTTATGTGTTTGCTATAATTTCCGATGTAAACTAATTATTTCCCTAAACATCATTAAACTGTTGGTTTAATGTAACGTAGACAAATTGCGTTGTGAGTGACGCAGGAACTGAATTCTTAAATAATTAAATTTGTAAAAATTACAGGATTCAAAATGTAAAGCTACAAGGCATTCGTCCACGTTGAATACTTAATCTAACAATTTCGTGCAGCCGTTAATCCTGATTTTTAGATATGTGCATCCTGCATACTTGCCATTTAGGATATGTAACAACCCGTTTACAAGCAGACAGTAAAAATTTGTTGGTTGTGTTCTTTTTCTTTCACATGTTTCGAACGCATGCGACCATTATCAGGTGAAGAGGGAAGTATAGTTTTCTCTGGGCTTAATTAGTTAAGCACTATGCCATGAAGACATACTGGGAAGTGAAAGTACAGCTCCGCCTTCCTTGTAGATGGAGGTGAGTGGTCTGCTTCACGCGCCTGCCGCTTTACCTCCGACGAAAGAGCCCCCGGTGCCAATTCAGTAGGAAGCTGGAAGGGTTTCCTCAGTGTCGGTCTGGACTCTGTGCAGACTGAATATAAATAAATTTAACTCAAACTTATATAGAATAGAACATAGAATAGGCAACGACTCGGTAAATATACGAGTATTCCCGCTGCAACGAATATGTAACCAACAATCGAGTAACTTCAGTTGCTAAGCAGCGGCTCTGTAAACGCGCATTCCCAAGATTCGAGAGGCTGTGTTTTGTACATGGCTCGTGCAAAATGGTTATAAATAACAGTTTAGTTGAGAAGAGTTAGTCTAGTTTCGAGATATAAGCCTGCCAGGATATGCTTTTGGGAGAGGAGGAATTGAATTGCATTGGCCGTTGCAAAATAATAGCAAGAAAGGAATTAGACTGTTGAAAGAAGACTTCATATATGTTTTGAAGTGACAGTGAGACTGTTATAAATCCGTTGCCAGGATACGACTAGTGTAGGCTGAGAAGGATAGTGCGTGTGTAACTGTGAACTGCAAAGTACGTAAATCAGCGATAGCGCTCTATTGCCTATAGTCCGAAGCTGTGATTGAGGTATCAATAAATCCAATTATCGAATCCAAAACCCGTCTATCAATAACGCAGTCCCCTATACGTGACTTCATAATTTCGACAAATCGAATCAGATGCAACTTTCTTAAATAGCTGAGAATAATATCATGGATCATTAAGCAAACTGTAACTGAGCTCCACACAAATATACCGCTTAGCAACTCTCACTATGGCCCAGTTCTTCCAGTCTACTCCTTTCGAAATTATACTAATTATATAATATTCTGATCAAAGTTGTGTTCGGTTACATAAATAAAGTTAAATTTAGGGACGAAAATAATTTACTGACAGATGAAGTGACAATGATTATAAATCGTGGTGTGGTATATTGGAGCAGTGCCTGCTTTATAGTTGAGTTGAAAGAATTAGATTGTTAAAATTATGTAAGCTATTGTAGGCGTGGTGCCTTTGCCTGTGGTTCTGTATTGTGTATGTGTGTGTGTGTGTGTGAGAAAATTGGTTTCCGATTGTAAGGGAGGAAGGTAGACTAAGGGTGTTTGAGAACAGGGAGGTGAAGAGAATAATTGGACGGAAGAGAGATGAAGTGACATGTATAGTTAAAGCTACCCCTGTAACAGGCTTCGGAGGACCATAGGTTTGTGAGGCGTTGAGGGTCCCACATTATCTAGAAAATCGGCTCAAAAATGGCGATAAGGTTGTCAGCCTTACGCACGGGCCGCACTTTACCCTTAGGAAAATTCCTGGTACTCATTTCTGTTGGAGGCTGAGTAAAATGAAGTGACAGGAAGTTGGGGAAAACTGCATAAGGAGGAGCTTCATAATTTGTACTCTTCGCCAAATATAATTAGAATGATCAAGTCAAGGAGGATATGATGGGTAAGGCAAGTAGCAGTAATGCGGGAGATGAGGAATGCATGAAGGATATTGGTGGGTATTCCAGAAGGTAAGAGACCACTAGGAAGACCAAGACGTAATTGGGTGGACAATATTAGAATGGATCTTATAGAGATAGAATTGGATAGTATGGACTGGATTGATCTAACTTAGGATAGAGAAGTGGGTGGCGCTTATGAGCAACTTAATGAACCTACGGGTTCCATAAATTGCTGGAAAGTTACTGAGTACTTGCGCAATTGACGGCTTCTCAAGGAAGGCTCTGCTGCATTGAGTTACCTAGTATTCTATTTTTTCAATTCGCTTAGTGCGGTGTGGAGCCCAGCTGGGTCCACTCGGCACGGCGGCCACTGATTGGGCTATTGTACTTGCCCCGGATGATTATGACGCTTGAGAATTTGATGGAATGAAGATTATTAGGGGAAACCGAAGTACTTGGAGAAAACTCGCTCCAGCGCCACTTTGTCCACCACAAATCCCACTTGACCTGACCCTGGTTCGAACCTGGGCCACGGCGGTGGGAAGCCGGCGACTAACCGCTAGAGCTATGGCGCGGCCTTGAGATATATAGTTAGTTAGTTAAGTAGTTATAGAATGATTTTGCTGCATATTTCACAGCTTCATGCATAAGAAGGTTGGGTTGGAGCTCCAGGATTACTTGTGTATGCTTAAGCCAATTAGAAACCATTTAAATCGCGGGATGAAGTGGGAAGCTCAAAAGGAAATAAGTGAGAGACTGTTTCGCCACGGATTCCACATCACAACGGTAATTTTCCGTGTCAATGCGTTGGAGCAGGAAGAGTGGACTTCATTTCGCTTCCCTTGGCTTTCTTTCACAGAAAAGTGTCCTCTACCACTGAATTAGTTTCAGGATAGTTCAGATTTGGAAATCTGACGTGTATTGACTATTTATTAACCCATGTTATCATTAAGAATTTTCAATTCAAAATTTGTTGTAGCTTTCCTATGCTGTGTTAAGAGTCTCTAAGGGCCACGTTTATAGTTGACACTAATCTCTAACCTTATAACTAAAACATTTAAAACAACTTTCCCTGCGTATTTTATCGTTCTAAGACCTTAGAATAATGACCGCATTGAAAAATGATTACGTCGGATACCTCATACCACAGGTTACCCTTAAATAATTTCTCACTGTATTTTTTGCAGTGCACAATTACACCCCTTTGTCACGAGCGCACATTCCTTGTCCCTTTTTGCCACACGTTTTAGCTATATATTGATTTACATGGATCTGTTCCCACACAGCCAGACGACTGATGTATGGTTCCCTGAGACGCGGCACGTTGAGAAGTAGCCTTATTGAACACAGGACGATTTTCAGTTGCCGATTTCAGCATCACAGATGAAGCATTTTTTTTGTGCAAGTCCACCCTGCTACAAGAAATGGCATTGGCTTCACAGAGAAGGAAGAAACAATTGTGGCACTAGCAGCAGTCGCCAAGGTATAACCCTGTCACGTTTCAAATGAGTTACGTTACAATGTATCAATAGCCCGTGCGCCAGTTATACAGGGTTATTCATAAGTCCGTGAAACATTTAAAAATTCACATCAAATAATCTATGGTAATCCTTACGCCGATAAATAAAGCATATCTTGAAGTCACTGTCTGCTAATCTCAGGGATATTCGCAACCTTATCACCGCTGCTGTTGCTCTGCTCAACCGTGATATGCTGACACGGGTGTGGGGCGAAATGGATCATCGCATAATGGCTGCCGTATCAGCAAACGTGGACAAATTCAGCATATGTGAACTATGTAAAGAAAACATGCTGAGTTTATTCCCATTTCGGTGTAATAAAATTTGGTATCCTATGCGTAGTTATTTATTGTAAATGTTCGAAATGTTCCACGGACGTATGAATAAGCCTGTAGAACCGTGAGTTTAACTGAAGCAAAACAATAAGCGGAAGGCTTATTGCACATGGAAGCTTGTAATCTCTGCGCGTCTCTGCATTTTCTTACCATCTGTAGGAGAAGTAGTCATTTACAGCCGGTCACACGGCACGGTCGGCATTGGCACGCAATATAATTAAGCCTATCTGGTGACGGGATCGGCGGTAAATGGGTTAAGCCTAATTTTGTGCTTAGGTCTCATATGTAAATCATTTTTATTTTACGGTATTTTCTTACATTTACTATGAAAATAAGTTGTGTACATATAATACAAATTAAAAGAACATGACGTGAATGAAATTAAATGAAGAAATGGACATCATAAAGTAGGCCAAACTTCTTAAGGAAACACAGGTCCAAGGAGTAACAATATTATTATTTAAATTTTTAATGAGGCTTGAATATATTTCACTGCACTGGAAGGGGAAAGGATAATTTCAATGGTAATACTTTCCATTACATAAGGTATACAAAAGTTTAAATATATACAATGAACTTATAATACTTTGAAACGCCGTTTCCTCTTGAGTAAATGGAGCAGCAGTATTAGATATTCATTAACTCAATCAGTTTTTAATTTTGTTGCATTTTTTACTCTTTGCTCAAGCCCAATCCTGAACCCCCCATCTACTGTCATATTGAAGCCTCTCTTGGTTATTTTAATTGGAATTGGTGTCTTTGGGACAACTTTTAGGTTGAAGCGGTACAACAGCTGTACCAATGCTATCTTGGCTTCCATAAGTGCAAACGACTCCCTGGAACATAATGAGAAGAAAATATTAATTGGCTTATATATCGACTTTTGGAATGCAGTGCTGGGTGTTAACCACGAAAAAACGGGGCGACTGAATGCAGTAAAAATGATAATCTGGTGGAAATAGTTGACAGTAGCAACTCTGTTTTCCTTGAAGTTTTCAATCAATGTAGGTAGCTTTTGATTTCAAATGGCACACATCCCAAGAGCTCAGGGATGGAACTTTATTTCTCTCATGATATTTCATGCTCTAAGAGTGAAGAGACATACCCTCACTGACGAAATTTCATGTTCTTGGTATTAGGAGTGAAACTTCACGTAAACCTTTTCCATGGCTACATAATGATTACCTCAAACTCTGTATTAGGTATTATAACATTACAATATACACTTTCCCATCTTAATTCTGTCCACAGAAAATTTTGCAGATGAGAGCTCAGAAGACATTTTTAGACCAATTTGTCCTCTTTCTTACAATATATGAGATATACTCGTACATCAAAAAACCCTGTGGGTACATCTACCATCAGTTCTGAAACATTCAGTTAGGCAAAGAACAGATATAAAAGCTAATGTTGTGCAGACGATAAGAAAATGTTACGCTGGTATGTACATGAAGTTTAAAAATCACAGACTTATGGAAAGAATTGAAGGGGTAGACCTAAAACAAGAAGGTTATGAGGTATTCATGCAGTAATGAAAGAGCGAAATATCAGAACAGTGAACGTGCACTAAAGTAAATGTCTCAAGTAGAACTAAAAGGAAAGATTTGTATTTAAGGCTTTGAGTGCAGTAGAGATTTGAATTGTTGCCTTGTGAGTCGTGGTACCAACTAATTCAGTGAACAGAATGCGGTGACACTTAATATTAAACTGCTGGTGCTTACGGTTACCGGCGTGTCTTAAAGGCTTAAAGTAACATCATTCATTTGCTTTCATGCCTTTTTCCATTCAACAGTCAAGGATACATATAAATATAATTCAACTGGTTGGATGTTATTAAAAAAAGGCAAGATTGTAGACTCTGATTTACACAAACCACTAATAGACTGAGCAAACACAAACTTCTGGCTTGTATTCAACAGGATTCTGTATCTAATCTCGGTCGGGGCACTGACTATTCGTGGTTTTTCTTAGTCCCATCAAGCAAATTACGGTGTAGTATAGTTGTTGCTCTGTTTAATGAAGCACCACTTCATAAAGATGTATGGGGGAGCGGAGTTGTGACTCCAAACAGATTTAAACTCTGTACTAGATGTAGGTAAGTAACAAGTTCCTCGCTCCGGGCATTTGATTCCTGGGAAACAGATCCCGGCACCCACTGAATCAGCGGCTGATTGGGAGCCACAGCCAGTCTCGTTGTTGTGGACAAAAGCATTCTTTGTTGCTGCAGGGAAACGAAACCCGATTTTACCGTAGTCCAATCCATAGCATCATTGCTGCATTTAGTGAGCTTTACGTGAAAATTAAACTTGAAGTGAAACTTATTTCGATAAGGGCAAATGCAAATTTACGCAGCTTGATAATTTGGCAATCTGACTGAACTGTTTTTGTATGGCAAGTTCTCATTAAAACTGAAGTGTTATTATGACGAATGTAACGTTTCATAACCTTTCCCCAATTATTTATTTCTGACCTAATGACTAGCACCAACAAATTCATTTGCAGGATTGAAAATGGAGATCGCTTAAATGTAAATTTTGTGCCATCTTCTGTTCATATTGGTGAACAAGTAAAATACATGTAGGATTTGAGGTTTTCACGGTTGTGAAAGACTGCTTTCTTCATAGTACAATACATGTCAAAGCATTTAAAGAGGGCAGCACGCTGTGGTAACGTTGTGGTGTAACTTGTATTTGGTGCAGTGGCCGCGTGAGTTTCCTTCCATGTGTTTCCGTCGAATTGTGTGCAGCTGTTGGGGTTCTATAGTCTAACCGTAAGCAAATTCCGGCAAATAAGGAAACAGAGCTCCTACAGTAGCACGTCAGTGAACTGCCAAGAAGAATTGTGTCTAAAATTTAAGCTTGTGTCATCATTAGCCATTTTCAGCGTACAATGTTTAACCAATGCCGACATATCAGAGGTCCCGTTTTTACACAGAACTCTTCCTCCGTAAGGTTGCCGGCTCAAGGTATGTCTTGAATTCGCATTTTAAATAGACAGTAAGCATTACTTACCAATACAGTTCCTAGGGCCTGATCCAAATGGCAGATATGTGCAGGCTTTGATTTTTCCTTTATTCTCATCACTAAACCTTTCAGGGTCAAATTTCTCAGGATCGGGGAAGTATTCTGGGTCATGGTGGAGGGCATAGATGGGTATGTAGACACCGTCTCCGGGTTTCATCGTGCAATGTGGTTCAGCCGGCAGTGTATATTGTTTGACGCACTTCCTGTCTGCCAGCACTGCAGGAGGATACAGACGGAGAGTTTCTGTAACATAAACCACAAGTGATAAAACGATCATCGCTTCACAGAAAGGCTGTACTTTTCAATTCATAATTTACTTACTTTCGATATCAGTCTTTCTGAAATACGTGCCAAGTGCCCCGACATTCAACAGAGAACCGGGCATAGCCGTGGCTTTACCAACGCCAAAGAATGAGGGAGAGATACAGGTTACAGCTGGAGATGCATGTCAGAGAGAGGATGCCAAGGTGCTGTTACATTACAACTGCAGTGTTAACATCAATGGAAAGTGACGTCATGAAACCTGAAAGACAATGATTTGACCAATGATATGCTTCGATACATGTTGCTCGTGGAGACAAAAAAAAAAACGAAGAAGGCTCCCCTCTCCGCAAAACCATTCAGAAAGAGATCTAATGGTGCAGTGATTGTAGTCGTGACATTAATGCTAGGGCTAGAAGGGCTTTACTGTGTGCCCGAAAATTGTTATATTTATTTGGTTCTCTTGAAAATAGTGACGGTCAGAAAGACCGGTAGAGAGAATGAGAGGGCGATCTGGAGTGAAGAAGAGGGAAGTAGAGTGGAGATGATTTGTCAACGGGGCAAACAGACTTATACATTCTAGCTTCTCACAGCGGTGATTGTGATGTTTATTATCTTTTGGTATGTGAGGCACTGTAGACTAGTACAAGTTTGTCGACAGTTCAGATGATCGTAATGAGTCCATATTAGGGGGGAAGACAAGAAGCAACCTGGACCCACTCTTGGAAGACTGCACGTCATCATACATCACAAGATATTTTTCTTCCAGGAAGGGATTCCCGGTAAAAGCAGTGGAGAAAATGGAATCCCCTTCTAAAGTTCAAGTACATTCCCGAGTTTCTGATTTTATTTGTCTCGCTAGTACAAGGACTGATATTTCGTAAAAGAGTAATAGTATGATACATGACATTTGCAACCACAAACCCTGGTCGTGATCAGGTAAATTTACTAAGCTTCTGCGTAATACCTGAGACCACCATGTCCAGGTACTTCATGCCGTGGACTGCTTCGTATGTAAGCTTCCCTCCGTCCTCTTTCAGCGTTTGATCAATCTCATGTTGGAGCCGAGATTGAATATCTGGATGCATGGCATCCAGGCAAAGCACAGGAGTGTGGAGGCTGTGTCAAAGCCGGCCAGAAAGAACAGAAACGCTTGGGCTGTTATGTCATCGTCGTCCCATTCTGTTGTAGGAACACAAGACAACAAACAATTTAAAACTTTCACTCAAATTGGCAGTCTCTCACTTAAAGCTTATCCAAAAAACGGAATTTCCATTACGAAAAACACTCAACAACAACAACAACAACAAAAAACGTTCATCATAGAGGATTCAGTTATAATATTTTATGCTTCTAAGAGCTCACTTAGTTTACCTAGTTTTAACTACTGGAACAGTTCCCAAAATATAAAGGTTATAAAATCCAAACCAACATTGTACAACTACAATTAACCAAAAGTCAGCTCGTCTGACTCTTAAAACTATAGTTAAGAAAACATGAGTTCGTCTGCCTCGTAAAACTATAATTAACCAAATAGCCATTGTGCTACCCTATGCAACCTCAAGTATAATTAATCAAACATCATTCTGCAGAATCAGACATATTTAACCAAATATCAATCCGTCTGCCTCTCTGCTCCTTCTCCGCACTTCCCCTGATTCTCGTAAATTCGACTTCACTCTTTACAGAAAATATTATGTACCAGCCATAATCACAAATCTCGCTGCTTTTCAACATATTCTCCCTTTACACTAACACAAGAGGGTGAGTTAGTAAATATATCACAAATGGATATATAACTTCGAACCTGAAAATGGATATTTATTTCTCGACATATCCTGCATTAACGATACATTTCTCCCATCGCTTTACCAGTGCATAATAACCCGCAGCTTAGAAGTATTTTGACTGTTGTCTCGGGCACTTCCGCACCTTCGTTTCAAGCTCTTTCTCATTAGCGAAGCTTTTGACACCAAGTTGGTGTTTTAGCGGAGAAAACAAATGGAAGACACTAGGGGCCAAGTCCGGGCTGTAATTCAAGATGCTCTAAAAGTTCCCATTGCAGTTCCTAATTTATTTCTTCTCGATCCGCCAGTTCTCTGGGCACCCACCGTGTGCACAATTTTCCGAAACTAACGATTCTTCATTATGCTGTATGCAAAACCATGGGAACATTCTAGTGCAGTTGCTACACTGTTTGTCGCTATCCTCCTGTCCTCTCGAATCAATTCATCCACCCGTTGCACAGTTGCTTCTGACGAAATCTCAACAAGTCTTCCTAGGCGGGCATCATCTACGAATTTCGAAATTCCTTAAGGGAATTTCTCAACCCAGCTGTGAAAAAGTTTACGCGTCAGACACTTTGTCGTGACCCAAGATGGTGGCGGGTTGACTGAATTATGTTGGCCNTGTGTCCTCTTGCCTAAAAATACATAACAGAACGCTGCTCTTTGGTAGTACACCCCTAAAGTACGGTCACCATTTTGACTACTGAAAGAAGCCTCTGAGCATGTACTTGCGCGTCTGGTACCTAGACTGTTATGAAGCTTGACTGAGCTGCTACCTGGTGATAGAAATAGTATATAGAAAATATCTTACGTCTGTTACGGCTGTTTCACTTTAATTTGTGACTCTCCCTCGCACTTTCTATCGTCCTGGCAATTTAATGATGCATATAACACAAGATGGTTTACTTGCCCAGCAAGTTCAGGACACCGTGTCTAACCTCATCAGCATTTTGAAATTCTGTCCTTTTGGGTGAATTCGTCCAAATACAAATCACTAAGGACAAAGTCAGGACTGTAAGGTGGGTACTTCTTGACTTCCGTGCCCACTGTTGTGTCATCTTCGTCAAATTTTCAGTATGTGACAAGGATTATAAAAGAGTAGGATGTGTTTTTGACAGTTTCCCATGACTTTTCTTCTGAACGGCCTGGTGTATATCATTGGGAAGCAAGTTACTGTAATACTACTTTGCACTCACTGTTATACTAGGTGCAACACGAGTGACTGAACCTTAATCCCAAAACACCTGACAAGACCATGCCAGGAAGGGAGTTGTGTCTTGAACTTTTGGGTGGTGGAAGTTCCAAGTTATGTCATTTCATGTTGGACCGCACTGATTATAGGGTGAAGTGAGGGGTGCTTCCACGCTGTGTCTCAGGTCACTGTTCGCTCTAGGAGTATGTTTCTCTCCCACACAAGCCGGTGCAGATGTCAGGCACACACAGTAACGTGCTGGTAATTCTGGCCCAAATATTATATCTTCAGGACCAACTGGGTATATAGTTTCATTAGAAGCACTGTACATGCATGTTTTTTGTTTGAACACTCCCAAAGCTTTTGCATGATGTATCACGCATTGCTTTTCGTCTCTTAGTCAGAATCCTCTTTTCGGCGCTGTCAATGTTTACATCTTGTACAGCTGCTGGCTCTACACGAGCATGCTGCACCCGTATGTTCGATATTATTTACGGACTCCAGAATAACTTCTGCGCCAATCATAAATACTTGCATGCGACGGGCTCTCTTCTCCATATTGTGCACTTAACCTACGAGGTATTTCGGCGGGTTTCACTTTTCCTTTCACTGGGATTTTAGTGATACAGCGCCGTTCTACACTAGGAGTGACAAGGTCTGACGCCATCTCGTGCTAGAAGCAGGGCACATGTCCATTTGTGTGGCAGTGAATGCAATGTTACCACCAACATTCCGTAGAAGAGTTTTATTTAACTGGTGCCCACGTCTGTTGGGGTGATAAAATCCAGGTTAACTTTCAACTGCTCTCGTACAATGGTATGTGGAATTCGAAGGATTTGGAAACTCATCTGCCCAATTTCCGAAATAGAAAAACGATCAAATCCTGCTTGGTTGTCTCTCTGGGCGGAATAAATATAATGTTTCAAAACCTACCTGTTTTCTCTTAAACGTACAACTTAGGAAAAGGTTTGTACACAGGCCTACAACAGATATTCCAGAAAAATAACCAATTTACTCTATCAATGTAAGGGCGTAGAGTGTCCGGAAATGTAAAGCGATACTCTCTTTCAAACGTTTCTTATATTATGAACAATTCTGGATTTGTATCATTTAGAGAAGTTAAGTTTTGCATGAAACACGGGACGGATACAATTCTTGAAGAAGTTATTGGCTCTTTTTTCTCATGACGCCCTAGCACTGAGCAGGCTGCTCTAATGGTAATGTTCTAGGCCTGTGTTGAGGAGGTGCTGAGTTCGAATCTCGACGAGGACAGCGGCTATACTGACTGATTCTTACATGGATTTCCTCAGTTCATCCACGCAGATAAAGGAATTAGGTCACAACTGCACCTTTCCAAATTCTTTTGAAGTTAAAATTCAACCTACCATTTATACTGTAGTGTATTTGCTCCATGCGAGAACGGTTGATCCAGAGAAACAGCCATGACTAAGTAATGCAAGAACGCAACTATAGAACAACTTTGTTATGCAACCCGTTTCTAGGCAACAGCTAGGTGAACACATTTCCGCGTAGACAGTGACTTCATACAACTGTGGGTAGCGGTTACGTGATGTGTTTTCTTTAGGCAGCAACCAGCGCGCCAATTTATGGGCTTGGTAGCAATCACGCGACATGTGTTTCTGTGATGCATGTACGTGTTGCTTCTAAATAAGTGAGCAGAATTCTGAAGCGGAATGAGTAACTGGAGAAGTGAGTATAAGCGGGATTCAGATGAGTCCCGATGTTCCAAAGTGAGTGAAAAAGAAATGGCATAAAGACTTCATAGTTATTTGAGGTGTTAGTTTCTTTGTAGAGAGAATTAGACTAAAGAGTTGAAGTCAGCTATCGGGAAATTCATCGTAGTAGAAGAAGAAGAACATTGTGGGCGTTTAGAAGCTTTATTCACAATGAGGGTGCTTCAATTCCGTTACCAGGAGACGACTAATGAAGACTTAGAAATCTAGTGCGTGTGTAACGTTGTACTGTAAATTGTGTAAATTAGCGATAGCGCTGTAATAATTGTAACCGGAGTGTCAATAAATCCCATCCGATTTAGAACCCGTTATTTTCGTCACGCGTAGTTGTCTTTGCGTGGCAGTACTATATTGTCTAGATATTGACAGCGTCATAAAGCAGTCTCTAAAGGAACTCAACTGTGTATTCGAAGAATTATAAAGAGAGTACAACAAATTTATGTAAAAAATTCCAAAGACTTTCCGGTTCGAATTAGAAGTTCCTTCATATGGCCTGACCCACAACAATTCTGTTCTTAAGGTCAAAACCCAAATACATGCTAGTCATAGTACCGTGAGGCGTTAAATGGAAGCAACTATCACAAATAACAATAATGGTCCCCGAATTTCCAGTGCAGGTTTTTCTGCACAGACACCCTGGTGATACAGGTAACGTAAAGAGTGCCCGTAAATGACTGATACACTTTTAATTTGTCATACCAAGGTAAGTATTACAGCTATACAGTTGGAAATAGTGTCATTTGCATCACGAAATCTGCAGTTTCACATATCCTAAATATGCTCGTATGATTCTAACACATGTCCAGTCTCCAATCCAGGTCATCCCATACTCGTTCTAACGTGTTCCCCTCAGTTGATTCCGCTGCTGCGGTAATTCTCAACTTCGGTGCATCAATATCCAGCGGTGCAGGTGGCACAAACACTTGTTCCTTTACATAGCCCCACACAAGGTGATATATGGAGTGAGAACGGGAGAGCGAAGAGGCCACTTTCTCTGCAGCTCCAGATCTCAGAACCCAAGGGTCTGGAAGCGTGGCACTGTACGGTTTCCTGCGCACCCGTGTGCGCAAAGCTTGCCACACAGTCGTTTACGGCATCTGTAACACACGGCTTCCCTTCTGCAAAGATTTCGTTGGACTTCGACTGAAAGTGGCCTCCACCTACCGTACAGGCTCATCACTCACACGAGGACTGCCACTGCTTGTGTTCTTACAAATGCATCCCTGGTTCTCAAAGTTGTCACACCAGCTCTGTATCGGTGCTCGAGGAGGTGGGTCTGTGGGAAGGCCCGCTGAACACTGGTGCATGAATTTGATTTCGCCGCGTACTCAATCACGCAAGAGCTCTTCTCTATATGAGACTTCATTTCCGAGAATTGCGGAGCCTTGCTGTGGGGTAGGTCGTTTGGAGTTTTACCGCCAATTATGAAATCTCCGAAAAATTGTCTTTCCGCTGATACCAGTTATATATGGGTTTCCTTTGTTGTTTCCTCGTATTTCATCCACAGAAATTTAGCAGTAATTTAGGGATACTCTGTATTATATACTCTATATTGTCACGTGTATTGGTGACAATTGACGATGTGTGGATTGGATAATTGGATTTTGGCACTTTTACATTCAATTCGTAACTACAAGTAAAACGACGCTTTTGCTGATCTACACACTTTACAGTTCACCGTTACACACACACACACATATTAGTTTCCTCAGTCTTCGCTAATCGTAACCTGTCAACGGATTTCAACACAGTCTCAACCAATCTCACTGTAAATGCAGCGCATACATGACTTCCTTTCACAGCCGCACTCTTGCAAATCAACTGAACCCTTGCCATATCTGCTTAATCATCTTCGATTACCGTCTCGATAGATTCCCTCAGTTCTACCTCAGCCGGCCTTGGATCCACTTTGTACAGCATTGGATCTGCCCCAACAGAAAACACTCTTTCTATCATTATCCCCAAAATACCTCGATTTTTGCTGGCTTATTCGCAGCCTCTCTAACTTGTTTACCGAGTAGATGCTTAGCAATGAACGTCAATTCTAACTTCACTACTCCAGCTATCAGACATCGAGTAAAAGTATTATATTATAGAATATTGTTATACATACTCGTGTTTGTAGACTTGACATTGGTTGTACCATTATCATCCCCCTGAAGTGTTCCTTTCTTGGTCTGCATGAGCAGATGGATCATGTCCGGCCTCACGATGCCTTTCTCTTCCCGCGTTGACATTGTACTATGTACCAAGGAACGGAAGAATTTTCCCGTCGATTTAGATATGAATTTAATATTCAGAAGCTGACATCATGAAACAGAGAATAGGTATTACTTCTGTCATAAGTACATAACTAAATAAGTGAATGCATGGCTCAGTGAATGGTTAGCTAGCTAACTTCAAGCAGCACAGGTCTTCTTGTTGGCTTGATCTGTATTCACGCAGAAACAGTATTTAGTAACCTTCTGTAGAACTCCGAAACGTGAACGCTTAGAAAGAGAAACCACTGGATCCAAGGTGAATGCGTGACATAATGCAATTAGAATTGTATTTTTAAAATAGATGTTGGAATTTTAAATGTGTTATAGATTTGGAAGAAAATCGGTTAAAATAATTTGGCAAAGAATGAATACCAAGGATAGAGAGATGGGCACTAGAATATAAATTTATAGGAAAGGGACGTAAAGGACGACCCAGAACAAGATGGTTTAGCCAAGTACTTGAAGACATCAAGAAGACAGGAAAGAGCTTTGAGACTTGTCATCCATCGACCTTCATAAAAGAGTAACAGTGCCAGAAGTGGAATGAGTAGCGGGAGGACGAGTAGAATCAGGGGACGAAGGAGGAGAAGAACGAGAAGAAGAAGGAATATGAGAGAAGAGAAATGAGAGTAATAAAGAGAATTAAAATAAATTCATAAAATTCATGAAACACTTAGCCAATATTCTACAACTTCAAAAATCGAAATGGATTCTTAAGGTCTGATAATAGAAATATTCCTAGACTTCTAGACGTTTTTCAGGATTAACATTTTGCTCCTTGTACATGAATAATGTTCTTACCTTCATGAGTTTTGGGCTGAACATGTAGCCAAAAAATATTAAGGCTCTGATACCGCTGAAGTTGGTAACGTATCTTCCCGTCTCATAGAATTAATTTCCAGGATTGTTTAGTGAATCACAACTAATTCCAAATGCTGACGTAGCAATTACATCATTTGTATATCTTGTAAACAAATCTTTCATCTCCACGGCCAGAATATTTCCTTCCGAAACACAAAGAATACAATAAAGATGGGGCTAAACCTATGTTTTTTTCATGTACCACACCAACAGCGTGTAAATAAAAATAATTTGGTATTTTTAAATAGATCAGAATTCAATCTCTTGTACGTTAGCTGCATAGATTTCCCGAAATAAACGAATAAAGTGAAATCCATATCTTTAATTCTGAACATTTCATCTCCTTTCCTTAGCACCTTACTGTAATTCGATAACATTTTGTATTCTGGGTGGAAAGTTTGTTAGGCATCCACACTGGAAGTTGTCATGAGAATGATATTTGGTTCATATTGGTACATCATAGATATACCGAACACACATAAGATTAAGGTCAGAGAATTTGTTTCATATACTTGGTTGTTCAACTTTCAGGCTGAACATCTAGAATCGCAAAAAGCAGAACAGTTTTACAAGTATTCACTGAATAGCCTCACTCTCGCGTTGGCACCAATGGCTCTTCCCAAAGAGCCGTGTGTCACGTATCAACCGACATTCAATAGCAGTACCAAGCTCAGAAATGGCAAAGATAATACAAGCCAATTTTTAGTCCAAAATATTTATATTGTCACCTTTTATGGAGTGTGACCTTAGACGGAACTTGGATGGATATCTTGATTTACTGAACACTTACAGATCGTAGCTACAAATTACTATTGCGCTAACGCTATTTCGCTCTTTCTACAATTCACTAATTCCTCTCAATCTGCTGTATCTTGACCGGTTGTCGCCTGATAACGGCTTCCAACACCGCAGCTTCCTCAAATTCCGTGTTCGTCCTCACTGACTGGCGAATGTGTAGGCCACATAGAAAACACAAATTTTCTATAATTGCATCATTTAGCTGTCGCACGGACAACGTCGAAAGCACCAGTTGTCATTCAACTGGTTCCTGTTAGGAATCTGTGGCCTAGCATCAGGGTCTACATGCTAGAGTGCTTCAAATAAACTATTTAACCAAGAATGAAACATCGGGGATCTTCACACAGTGTTTCCTCTTAAAAGTTTCTCTTCAACCATGCAAAACCTTCGATCAATGATTAATGTTTTCTGTTCCTCTTTGGCTTTGTTCATATTTAATGGATATTAAGTGATCGGGTGGGCCATTTTAAAACTGATATTGCCTTGTCATACGGCGGTTACTGTTTGGAATTTTAAGTTTGTGTATGAAGGTTATCAGAGCGTGATCAATGCTCGCTCGCCTGTGTTCTCACGAAATTAATTTGTTAATTCACATTAAGTAGCAAGTTTTGTGATCTTTTATGGATAAGGGCAAATGAATTTTTATTTTTCTTCCATTACGGGCTCATAATTTGGAAAAATCAACTCAAGAAACTTCAGAGAAAGAAGTTTCATTTTGATGATATTAAATGAAGTGGACTGCATGAGGAACATACAGTAGCAAGAAGGTACAGGGTTCTTTGTGTCTAACTTAAGTTCACAGCTCTGCGCTTCACGGCGAGCCGTGGTCTGCTTACCGCCAGGCGCATACGAAGTTTGCTGATGAATCAGCCGATAACGTTTGGAATTAATGGAAGTAATTAATTTGTAGACCGCTTGATAGCGTTATGCTTCACGGCCAGCAGTGCGATTCATATTGTGAGTTTGTTTATGATTTGTCAAAAATAGGCAGCAATTATCAGCTGCGTTAGCAGTAGGAACCGGATTTTAATGCAGAGGCATATTTCTTTCTTGCAACCAAAAAGTACGCTCGTTTGGATATATGTATGAATTACTTCATTTCTTAAATTTTTGACATGGTTTGATAGTGCATATAAATGCATATTTTGCCTGTTTTATGAATAAGCATCATATTTTCTAAGATCTCTATTTATACAGCATATTTCCTTTTTAAAGTGTTTATCATATATATTTTTAAATTATATGTTCAAATTTTCATTCATGGTTGTGTGTATACAATTTTTCTTTTCTGTATTAGAATATATTGCATATTTTACTCAACATTTCGTTATGATTCATGTTTCTCATGCAATACCCAGGACGGGACTTCCCCGAATCCTCTACTCGTAACTTTTCTCATCCGCGTACCATCAGAATGGCCACGAAGAGATTAGTCGGAAGTGTTCACATGTAGCAGCTATCAACGTAATACTATTCAACCGACAAGGGACTTCACTTATTTATTTCCGAAGTCTCCATGAGCTTCGTTACGCTTCTTCATTTGAAGCTGGGGGCCATTCACATTAGTGGTGACTAGTCTGTAGTTAAGTGTGTTTAGCTTTCTGTAGTCAAGCTGAAAATGAAAGTAAGTCAGAAAACTAAATTACAGCTGTATCAGCGGGAGTTCGAAGAAGTGATGATAAGTACGGATAACAAAATTCTTTAGTTCAGAGCGTGTGAGAACAGTTGGTTGTGAAAAACGCTTTCAAGTGCTTAAGCATTTGAACAATACACAAAGAGAATATTAAAATTAAATCCACGAAAAGTGCTCCTATTAAAAAATTGCTTAGTGAATATTCTAATAATAGTTTTTAACAGTTTTCCTATGATTTATGCGAAGCCTTTTTAGCGGCAGATATTCCTCTGTGGAAACTAATCAATCGTTCTCTGAGAAACTTCGTAGAGAATTATACACAGTGCAAAGTGCCGGATGAATCTTCTGTGCGCTAAATTACGTGAAGCAGTGTTACGATCTTACAACTGAAAGTATTAGAGATAAGATTCAAGATAATTTTGTGTGCGTATCAATCGACGAAACACAAGGTTGTGAGGGACGGTTTATTGCAAATAGTATAGTTGGATCCCTTAATAAGAATGAAAAATCTACCCAATATCTTCTTGCGGTAGAGTAATTTGAAACCACAAATAGCTCCGCAGTTTCCAAATTTTTTATCAGTTCCATGAATTTACTATGGCCAAATTGCATTCAGTATGAGCGCGTATTGCCCTTTGTAACTGATGCCGCAAGTTATATGATGAAAGCCGGTACTGCTCTTAAAGTTATATTTCCAAATATGACACATTTTACTTGCCTTGCCCATGGGTGGCACCGTGTTTCAGAAATAATTCGTGCAAATTTTTTGCTTGTTGACAAGTTGGTGTCTTCTGTGAAGAAGGTATTTTTTAAAGCTCCATACAGAAAAGAAGCCTTTAAAGCAGTAGCACCAAGCGTTCCACTTCCGCCAGAAGCAATTTTAACGCGCCGGTGCACGTGACTGTGTGCAGCGAGTTAGTATACCGAACATTTAGAAGCAGTTAGGAATGTCGTGAATAGATTTGATCCCAAATGTGCAGCACCAATTCAAATCGCCCAAGATGTACTAAAAAACGCATAACTAGAAACTCATCTTTCCTATACGGGGAATCCCAAGAGGAATGGTCAAAACTTCGGGAGGGTGTTCCTTATGTTAAAGTATGCCGATATAACCCAAAACACCTATGTCCAAAGTTGAACGGTTATGGAGATAATGGCCAGAGAATTGTGAAACTTTTACCGGTGTTACACACTTCTTAATTACAAAATACATATTAAAACTGGCAGGAATATGTGGTTTCTGTAATGTTAATAATGTATGTAATATCAAACTAACTTGAGAGTGACATGAAGCCATAAAATTGAAGTACAAAATACTCGCTCGCCATGTCATAATTGACACATGACTTTGCAAGCACTGACGTAACATGGCTGACTGCGCTATAAACCGACCACATAACTGTATTAAACGTACTGTGACGTGTCGAGCTAGCTGGAACCCCCCCCCCGGAGCTGACACGCCGAGCGAAGCCGAAATGAGCCGAGCGGAGCCGAAGTTAGCCTAGTCCTCGCAACCTGGTAGCTAGGCAACGCGAGTCAACAGCGGTGACGTCACCCAGGGATATTGCGGTTGCTAGGCAGCAGTCAACAACTCCGGACAGCGTTGCTAGCAACACGGTACCAGACGACAATGGTCCGGAACGAGGCTACATAAGGAGCAGCGAAGGCTATTCACAGTTAGTTCTCAAGGCAGCTACCTACGAGTTAGTTCCGAGAGAGTTCCGAGTTAGCCAGCAACCAGTCAGTTGCATTCTGGCAATTGGAGTGTAGTATTTGTGATACTGCAGATAGCAGTAATTGTGAATCTGTAATGTGGGTGATTGTAAGTGCGAATGTGAAATAAAATTTGTTATATCAAAAACGGCGTGAAGTTATTTGTCGTGTTATACACCCAGCACGTGACAGTACATTCACGGAAAATCTCTTTTGGAATTTCGTTTCCATTATCTCATGTGGATTATTATGGGACCACGTATGCACATTTCGTAAATTATTTACACCGTCCAGGGTAAAAGACGCCTCATCACTGAATAAAATGACGCTTAACAGTTCGGGATGAGCTTTTATCCAGTGGCACAAATCCATACGCTGTGCTTGGTCTCCTGGTTCCAGATGTACCTTTGACCATCGTAAGGATACAATTCTTCATCATGTAAAGTTCGCCACACCTGCATACGTGATACGCCGATGCGAGAGGCCATTCTACGAGTGAACAGACACGGACTTCTCTGAACCATCTCAAGAATGTTCTCTCGTGTGTTTATCATTCGTACATCCTTCCTTTCAGACTGCACAGAAACACTCGGAAGAGAACCAGTACCACGCAATGTCTGGTAATTCGCGTAAATACACTTGGAGATGTAATCCTTCGATCGGGAAAAAGCCTTTGTACTCTTCAACAGCAGCACGTGCATTGCCACCGCAAAATCCATACACAAAATGCATATCACAATATTCACCGTGTGAAAACACAAAAGGCATTTCAGCAACTCCGCACAGCTACACGTAATTTACCAACGTATTCTGTAGGCTCTGTAGGTAGCATATGAGCCACATGAGCTTACGGCTAGTGTGAATCACCGCACTCAAGGACAAATATATATAAGGCATCTCAGTTTACAGGTACAGTGCGTGGACCTGCCAGAAGATCACACTTTTCTCGGGCCATTATCTCCGAAACCGTTCAACTTTGGACATAGGGGTTTTGGGTTATATCGGCACACCCTCCCGAAGTTTTGACCATTCCTGCTGGGACACTCTGTATATCTGCGCACTTCTCTCATCTTCCACCCTCAATTTCCTCACTGGAGGCAAGCGATAGCAATACTACTTTGTATGAGTCGTTAAGCGTGTTCAAAACAACTATTTCCAAATTGAATTCGGTTCCTGGAAGAGTTGGTGAAGTAGTAAAAGTAAAAGTACACAGCATTCTTTAAAAAAAATCCGGGATATGAACAAATTTGTGAAATTGAAGAAATTTTAGCCGGTAAACATACTGAACTGCCAAGTAAAAATCACTAACAGTGTAGCAAATAGCGGCTTCTGTACATGCGCCCCTAAGTTCGTGTGAGGTGGAAAGAAGTTTTTCCCGCTATAAGGACATCTTATGAGACAATAGGAGGCGACTAACTATGGAAAACCTAAAACATTTACTAATTGTGAACTGCAACAAAAGAGAAGTTGAAAGTTCGGAAAGCTAAATGTGAGTACCATTGGTTTTTTTAAATTTGTAATGAAATATGTTGGCTTTGCTGCATGATTTGTATTTAAGTATAGACTTTTATTGCACGTGAATCATTCAGTGATTACATAAAATAAACTTATTTTATTGATTTGTGGTCTTAAAGTAAGGTAAAATCAATTTTAATATTTGGTATAAAATTTTATGTGCATATTTTAGTGCATATTTCGGAAGTTTTTCATGCATAAATGCATACATATTTAAGGGATTATTAGGGTATAAAAAGAACAAGAAACAAAACATAAGCGTTTAATGCTTACTGAGGAGAAGTTGGATGACATACGGGCCAGATTTGAATATAGAGTACACCTAGAAAACCACTGAAAAGTCTAGCTCGAGAGACTGAAGCGTCAGAGTCTAGTGCAAGAAGGGCACAACACAATTCCTGAAGCCATCCAGTGAACGTTATTATTAGGTGTGCTGTAAGTGCTAGAGTAATTGTTGTACTTGTGTTTTCTAATGAAACAATTAACTGCGGAAACTATCTACGTGTAGAGAGGACAGCATCTTCAACATATCCTGCGATCTGTGAATTATAACTACTTCATTCCGAACATTATCGGTCATTAGCAAAGCTGATTCGTCGGCAAAATCCGCATGCGCCTCGCAGCAAGCAGCACACTGGTCGCCGAGAAGCGCAGAGCCGTGAACTCATCAAATTACTAAGAATATTCCCTGAACTTCGGAGCCTCATCAACATTTGGTTGAGGGCAGAAGAAGACAAAATAAACTTCTTTCGAGACGGACGGCCGCAGAAACCACCATATACACACTGGCAATTAATGGTAAAGTGCGATAAGAATTTCAGAAGTCCACTGATGTTTCCCTGATAAATGTGATGTTGCTTTATTGGTGCCTGAAACGTAATGCACTGGTAACACAATACCCTGGTTATGTTTACAGACAGATAATAAAAATATTGGATTCTTCATAATATTAAATATGTAATTCCTGCTTCACAGAAGACACTGCACCTCCGTTACACAGACCAATTACTCAGTGCTCTGTAGGGAAACATTCACTCCTTCTTCTGGGAATCAAGTTAAAACAGCTGGGATAGAGCTCGTACAGTGACGTCTGTGTTTTAAAGGAGCAGTTATTTCTTAATTTTGTTATTTTTTGAATAGTCACTCAGTGGTAAACTGACATATTTATAAGTACCCTGATTTAAACCTGTGGTGTTCCAGCCACTGACGTTTGATACTACGGGTCAGAGAGGCTCAGTTGTAGCAAGGAACACCCCTCAGGCAGCCTAAATTAACAATAAAACTGTTAAATTTTTAAATATAAAATCTTAATCTCATTCATAAAAATTATATACACACACGAAAAACTTAATAAATTAAGAATAATTTCTTCTGGGACGCGACCCGTATAGTCCGGGAGAAATTCAGCGAAGTTTCGGAGGAGTATACTGCATACATCTTTAGGGCTCAGTGCTGGTTGTTTGCTTCGCTTACCCTTCGAACCTCAAGACTGAGACATCATGTTACTCCGAAACGTCGGTGAACTTCAAGCTTACATATGTGTACATGTAAATCCTCAGACTGATGTAAATTGCTTTGTGTTATAGTATTACTTGCCTCTTTCTATCTTGCAGGCTTCGATTGTCAAGTTTTTTGTCCTTGATACACTTTTCCAGGAAGTCAGTTAGCTGTTTACCACATTCTTTTATCAAGACGAACATGTTCTTCATCTTGCTGGATGTGAAAGCAGGACTCAGGGTAGATCGCATGTCCTTCCATCGTTGTCCTGTGAGTGAATGAAACTGTGAATAATGAAGTGAAACAAACGCGAAGTATTTTTTTGTTCATTTTTCATGTTACATTGAGCTTAATTCCGTTTATTATTTCTCCCCATAAACAAACGACGAAGAAGCCCTGAAGGAAACGAAAGGCCAAAGGCCACCCCCATTTTGGCGTTCTACCAATCCCATGTTGTTTCCTGCTCAATGAGACCAAGGAAACGATTACGGATATGAATATGCACAAGGCTAACTTTAGGAAGGGCGACAGGTTGACGTCATAGCAAATGAAGATTGCTGCCTGCGATTGCACACGAATATCCTAAAGGAAAAAAAAATTGCCACTTATTTCTGGCTCCTTTTTCTGCGATTTTTGATAATCCCATGCAATTCTTTATCACCATCAGAAACACTGCTTCCATCACAATCATGAAAATCATTCACTGTTCATTACCCACATGTTTGGTCGGGAAACGAACCATCTTGTTCTGTAGTAGTACAGAGTGATTTCGTGCTGCGCAAGCGCAGTCTTATTCTGCCTTTCCTCACATGAATTTTTGTCACGCTTCTCAAATTTCTAGTTACAGTGAGTTACCTATACTTCTGTAACGAAACCTTACCTAATCTATGAGAAACTAATCCAAACTAACCTGGTCTGACCTGACCACACCTGACCTAACTTAACTAAAGCAACATCAGTTGCCAAAGGATCGTAGCCGTGGGAGCCATGACCGAAGGGAAAGACAGGCTTCTATCCACTATGCATTACTTACTTCCTCATGGAGCTGATCCCTTCTTGTCGAGAAGCCAAATCTGCAGCAACTCAAGAATTTCCTTGCATTTTATGGAACCCGAAGAATCATTACCGTGTTCACAAGGGTCCTCCCCTGGTCCCTATACTGAGCCAGATCAATCCAATCTATATCATCCCAAACTATTTCTCTAAGGTCCATTTTAGTATTGTCCAGCCACCTACGCCTTGTTCTTCACAGTAGTCTCTTTCCTTCTGGCTTTTCCACAAATATACTGCTTGCGTTCCTCTTCACCCTCATTCGTGCTACATGACCTGCCCACCTCATCCTCCTTGACGTGATCATTCTAATTATACTTGGAGATGTGTACAAGTTATGATGATCTTCTTTAAGCAGTTTTCTTCAACCTTCTATCACTTCATCCCTCTTCCGTCCAAATATTCTCCTCAACACCGTCTTCTCAGTCTGCGTTCCTCCCTTAATGTCAGAGAGCCAGTTTCACACCCATACAGATCCACCAACAAAAATGAATATTTGTGAAAGAATCGAAATTGAGAAGAGAAACAAATACAACAAACATGAATACCAGGAATTAAAATGGGATAATTCAACATTGTTTCTATCCCCATATTTTTCAGTATGGATAGAATTCTGGCACCGTGAATGTCCCTACCAAGGACACGGTTAACTAGACTTGTAAGGCCATGGAACATTTGTGCGCAGAATGTTCCAAGGGTTACATATACTACTTGTGACTTGTCTGAGTATATCCAAGTCATTTCCTAAAAATCTGAGAACTACAATTGTCATGAACATTTAGTGTGTATTCTCTCACGCTTGGAGTCTCGATTTGTCTAGCAATTATCGACGCGTACATTTTATTGAATTTGAGATAACTTAAGTTCTTGAATAGCAGTAGGAGGTTATGTCAATTTACAAATGATATATATGTAATTAAATAAGAAATATGTCGATTTAAAATCTCGAAATTTATGTTCTTCCATCAAAGTAATACAAACCTACAAGCAACCGGCAATATTCCTTTGTCTAAAATATCTTTGAGTGTACACAATAATTTGAGTAGGCAGTTTTATGAACAAAAGCCTTGTGTCTTCAGTATGGTCTTCCGGGAGGCCGCACCATAGCTCAAGCGGTTAGACGCTGACTTCCCATCGCGGTGGCTCGGGTTCGATCCCGGGGTCTGGTCAAGTGGTATTTATGGTGGACAAAGTGGCACTGGGGCGGATTTCTCCGAGTACTTTGGTTTCCCCTTCCAATCTTCATTCCACGAAATTCTCCATCATCATATTCACCCGGGGCAGGAACAATACGCCAATCAGTGGTCGCCGTGCCGATTGGACCCAGTTGGACTCCACCCCCCACTAAGCGAAAGGTCTACGGCATAAACATTATCGTCTCCACATTATATTTAAAATAGAATATACTAATTTTCTAGTGATATAATGTTTTATTTTATTATCTATTGATGATTCACATTAAAAGGTGTGTTCCACACAGTATAGCTTTTTGTTTAACGCTCTGGGAAAGATCAGACGTGAGAAGTGTTCTAAACCGGTCAGGCCCAGAAGCAGTAGACTGTTCGGAATGAAGAACTCACCTTTGAGATTGAAAAGAGCCTTTCCGAACAGCGGCTCAGTTTCTTCGCTTATAGGGGCTCGGTGGTCCAGGAAGTGTTCAAAATCTTTCACGGTCACCATCTTTATGAGCTCGGGATCTCTCAGCAGAATAACCGGATTCAAGAATTCATATATATAGCCAAATTTATTGCCTTTAAGCCTGTTAATTCATTGAAAGATGCAGTCCTGAAAGCCAGTGGTCCCATGTTCCCAAAGAATGGTACAGGCTTGAGGTGCGGTACATTTTTCTTGGAGAAATGATCATGGGTCCAAGTGCCAAGCAAGTACACGATTACACTTATGAGACCCGTGGCCAGTGTCCATACCCACAGAGACTCCAACATCCCGAACTTTCAACTCCAAACTGTGTTACACAGGTGTAGCCAAGTGGGAAACAGTGCAATGCCACACTGGCTGTTGCTTTGTAAGCAGTCTCCACTTTTCTCCTAAGCTCCTTTTAGTGTGATTCGAAATTCTGTAAAAAGAAATGAAAAATTAATGTTTGCCCTAGAATATTTCTCTTTTATGATTTATCTTACGGCGTTGATATTATCTCGGACTGCACGGGCCTATAACATGGAATGGTAGGATCCATGAACTGGATAGGATTCGTACAGACACCATCGAAGCTTAATTATGGTATTATCTAGACATGTATACAGGACCTGCGTAAAACCACGAGAATTATCAGTCGGGATATCCGGTGTCCCGGCAGATATTTGAACACAGCATCTCCCGAACACAGGTGTATAGAGTTGCCATAACACCAACCTGCTTCGTTACTGTATTTCATATTATTTTCTTCCATTGATACGTAATATTACTCTTACCTAATACTATTCTTCTGCCAAAAATCTGTTCTAATTCATTCGTTGTGGTCAAATGACGTCATATCTACCTTCTTAAGTTTCATATCCAACCAACCAATTAAGCACACGCCATGAAGTATACTTGGGAGTGGATATACAGGGTGATTCACCAAGAATTTTCAATACCGATTCAGTGTAAATGTCTGGTGTGGTGTTCTGTATGATCAGCTAATCGGGCCGATCATTTTTCCTGGCCGCTTAATCACACACACCGCCGTTTGAAATGATGTTGGCACTTAAAACCAACAAGATGCAGAACAACGGTGAAGTCCATAATCAGTATTCATGAATATACGTACTTACAATATCTGTCGTGTGATTCTGTGGCGTGTAAATATAATGTAGCATTTTATACATATTGTAACCTCTTAATATGAGCATATGTTACGAAATTTTGTTACAAAAATTGACGCATCTATCTCTGCAGTTCAGTAACAATGTATTTTATTTATTTATTTGCGAAAAACTTGACATTCATTGCAACCATGGCTGAATGAGAAAATAAAATTGATTAACTCACTGACATTCATAGTACTTTTATTAAATTTAAATTTATTTTTTGTCTTATCCCACCGCGGGGCCCTGGTTCAAAACCGGTTCCGGTCAAGTGGGATTTGTGGCGGACAAATTGGCGCTGGGGCGGGTTTCCTTCGAGTACATCGGTTTCCCTTGCCAATCTTCATTCTACCAAATTCTCCATCATCATAATCACCCGGGGCAGGTACAATAGGTCAATCATTGGCCGCCGTGCCGACTAAGCGAAACTTCTGCCCTTAATCTACTATATTAGTCTCCACTATTCGTTTCCTGGCAACGAATTTTAACACAGGAACTATAACAGTCTCACTGTACTGCAGCACTTCTCAGCCCTGCTGCCAACTGAACACATGGCGTCATATTCTCAGCCTTCCTTGTACAGCTCAACTCTCTACTAACTTGGGACTCCGGAACTCGACTGCCGATTCTGAACTGTTTTATTGCCACTTTCTACAGACCGAATAGGAAACAGAGTTTCCAACAAATCCTCTATTGGTGCTTGCATATCTTTTTCTGCGGAATCTTCTCTACAGAGAAGTTGCCTACCAATGAACATCTCCTCTGGCTCCACTATTCCTGCCTTAAGATGCCATGTCGCAGTAGTTATGTTCTGTGCTCTCCGAGAGGTTTGGCGACCGGTAGCGGTCTTGAAATTTATTGCGATATGTTCGGTTCGAATTTCGGCAGTCCTGACTGATGTTTTCGTCGATTTCCTCTGTTTCTGGTGCTTTGAATTCAATGTGACTGCTTCAACAACAACAATGGCATTAGTTAAATAACGCAACTCTATGCCCAGTCTGTTGATACCCTCTGCTGTTTCGCATATAATTATCTACAACTTCTAAAGCAATTTTGACGGGTAATTGCGACCTTGGGATCGGAGCAGAGACAAATTGCGGCTTGCGAGTTGGGTTTCCAAGACATGCTGTCTACTGGAGACGGGTTGGTGCAGTTGCTGTAGTTAATTTCAAGTCAAGTTTCCTTGTCACTGTCATTAACGTAGATGTCGCTACCAGAATATCCATTTCGGAGTTTGTAAACTTTCAGAGAACATTTTTTTACTGTGTTTACTTTTGAATCCAAGGTCTATTAGCGGATAAATTCTGTGATATGACGCCTAAAGGCCGAAAGAGCGGAGCGAAAGAAGACGTTCAATGTTAGGCAACGACTCGGTAAAAAGTTCCCGCGCAAATGAACACGCTCTTAACAACAGAAGAACGGCCTTTTCTATGCAACGGCGATGAAAACACGCATTTATAATAAGAGAAGACTTACTAGGAAAAGGAGTTTTCTTTTGGGACCGCCCCGAGGACATATAACAAGGGTTTCAAAGGCTTGACGCCACGAAGAACTGATTGGCGGTAAACCGGCAGTCATAAAAGGACTTTGGCAGTGTCATAGCTCAGGCGGTTAGTCGCCGGCTTCCCACCGCGGTACCCGGGTTTGAGCACAGTTCACGTCGTGTGGTACTTGTGGTGGGCAAAGTGGCACTGGGACAGGTTTTCTCATAACACTTCAGTTTCCCCTGACAATTCTCTTTCCACCGACTGCTACATTCATCATCTAAAATCCGGCGCTGGTACAATAGCCAGTTAGTGGCCGACGTACAGAGAGGAATAAGTCTCAACCCACCCAAAGAAACTTAAAAAACTCTGACTCTGAGAGTAGAATTGAGGGAGTGTCTTCAGACGGCAGTCGAATGTGACTGAGAAGAGATGACAAAATTTGTTTGGCAATCCGGCTGTGAAGACAAGACTTTGTGTGTGCTACAGGACCGCGATATATTTAGTGTGTAATTCAGTGAGACTCTTAGGAGTTCCTGTTATAGAATCCGTTGCCAGGTAACGGATAGTGGAGGCTGTAATAGACTGGGAACACCTGTGAGTGCAACAATGTAGTGTAAAGTGTAAAATTAGCGAGAGTGTTATAGTTTTTTGCAGTACCACCTGTAAGTGATCAATAAATCCGTGAATCTTAAACCCCCTCTATAGTCCGCTCTCCTAAAAATATGACAATACTTTACTAAGACCAAACAAACGTAATCCAAGACGTAGTGCACATTGTCGCGTGGTGCAGGGATTGGAGAGGAGAGTTGATGCACGGAACGTACACTTACGTATAAGAGTGAGCTCGTGGTCGTTGGACGGCTTCGTGTAGATGGGCGTCTGGGTTGACACTTCGCACGAGTAAAAGCCTGAAGCATCGAAGTCCATGTTCCTTAGTAGAATCTGTCGCTCGTTGCTCTCGTTCCACTGCAAAAGAGTAACAAGAAGCGTTACTGCAAGTGTCAGAGATGTGTGATGACAGTTTCCCTTGGTTCTGAAAGTGCTTCAGGTCAGCTGGCAACCAATGCAGTCTACGCACCATGGCGCTTGTACTATTGACATCATCTGCATTAAACTAATTCAGTCCTGCTGGATAACTTACAACTGGTACAGCATGTGAAGAGCTTGAGAGGGCAGTGCAGTGGGTGAACTGAAACCGGCTTCAGGGGCCGATATATCCTGCAGAATGTCCTCAGGATCAGGATAAGGCGTAATGTTAAGGTAACTATTCCCATGCAGCACAAAACTTCTCTGGTTTGTGGAGTACAAAATGACGCCGTCAGAACCTACACCGTCGGATGTTAGACTGATGAATACTTACTACCTCATTTCATACAGCCATCGCTGTAGTTCATGTGCAGATCTGTAATGTCATTACCTGTATAGATACCACTCTTGTTGCAAAAAGCCAGGGCGTTAAACTCGCTACCCGCCCCCCAATCCTGTGCAATATATCTTTATGGGGCAATGCTTAATTAACCAGAGGACAGTTCTCCCTTTAACTTTAATTTACTTTTGTGATATATGACAATTATTGCCTTTTTAATAACATCTTAATCCCTATTCTTGCATGCATAAATGTAACACAAAGTTTACAGCCCAGATGGCACGTAACGTTCATGTTACCGCGCTGTTCCCACTTTTCTGCAAACCGTCAGTAAACAAGTTATATTAAATTTTAAATGCTGAAACAGCATCTTGACCCATGCATAAGATAATCAAGTCAGAATTGTACGTGGACGAACTGCGAACTCGCCTGTGACCAGCGGTACGAATACCAGCAAAGAAGTCAACAATTTCAAACACCGACCCAGTCAAATTTTGCTGCCGCATGTGAAGTGAGGTGAACAGTTCCTCCCACTCACCAGATCGCCTTTTCAGTTACGCAGTGGTTAAAGCGGGCCCTGCCAGCAGGTTCCGGTTTCAGTGAATATGAACTCTATCCATAGAAAGCGCTGGTCACGTGACTGAGTAGACTGCCAAAGGCTATCATTCACTTTCGTAGAAAGTACGGATCTGTGTGCGGCGGTTCTTAACATGGAACCTCAGTGAATATCTTCGGGAATTGTGAGAACAAAATTCTCTAACCGTAAGGTCCGTGCTACATAAACAATGCTGAAAGATAAACAGCCCTGAGAAGAGTTACTATTCCTCTGGAAGAGGGCATAACAATTGCAGGGAAAGGAGACTGTAGACCCGAACAGATTGTGGATACATAGGCAGGATCTTCTCACACTCTGAGATATTGAGGGGGGGGGGGGCGGAGAATTTAACGCCCAGAGATATCCGAGGGGAGAGAAAACGCAATTTCATCGAATGATCTCGAAATGCGTGATCTGCGTGCAAGCTTACCAGAATACTCTTGGGGCGACAAATAAATTCGCACTTTGCGCAAATTACCCTGCCACTTAGAAAATTATATTAACGTTTCGTGTAGAAATAAACATTTTCAGGAAAAATGAAACGGATTGGGACTGTAATTTAAGTAACGTGGAAATCGAAAATGTCAATTAACTCAAATACGAGACAGAGTTGGATGCCGTGCAGCACACTTCAGAATTGGAATGAATAATGAGAAAGGGCCCAAGAAGACCGCTGAACGCAGAGACGAGACGAGGTTTCACACACATTACACAGCGGGA